AGACTCCGCTTGTGTTGGTGCCTGGTTTGTAAATGTGTTGTTTTTCTCAAATTGATACATTCACCTTTGTGATACTAAGCCGAGATTACTTAATTGCCCCTCATCACCCCTAAAAAATTGCAGCTATTAAATCATGAATTGGAGATAGGCTCAAGAATGGACGCTAGTAATTTGAATTCGGGGGCTCATCTCTATGCCGACAGGTACGCTCTTGATACAGAGTGGCTAAATCAACAGGGGAGCAAAGTGGAACATGTAATCTAATAATTTCAGACACACACACACAAAAGGGAACAATGTGAGTAAAAAAAAAAAGGCAATTACACAAAGAACAGCAGTTGATTAGACTATTAGTGACATAACCCTGGAGGTAGGGTGGCACCTTTTCCTCCATTTTCTTATTCACCATCAATGTCTTGATATCAGCATGTTGAACAGGTGCATCATGGGAGGTCCCCTGGTGCTTTCAGGGCAGGGAGTGCAGGGGCATTTCAGGTAAGATTTTAAAATGCCTCATTACATTCAAAACATTGACAATGTGCTTCAGGGACTCTTTTTTTTCTATGCTGCGTGCCCTTCAGTAATAATTAATCTACTCTTTCATTGAGCAAAGGGGATGTTTCGCCCGCTATGTACAGGCGAGTCTGGGGGGCCCAGGAGGACAGACGTGGAGCACACAGGGCAAAGCTTGTGTCCCTCACACCCCGATGGTATTAATCTCTAATAACTTCCCCACACAGCACCTTCGGGCAGCGGCAGAAGAAATGCTACGGGTAGATGATGCGTTTTACCAGCACTAAGTATGAATCAGGATATTAAAAAGTTGTAGGAGGGCAAAAGCAATTTCCTCCTAAAGGGGATTTTAAAATTACAGCGCTCAGACTGGAGGTAAGTCTAACCATAAAATCATTTTCTCATTTTTTTTTTACCCGTCACAATAAAACACCTCCCCTCCACCACCGTCGCCATACATCCACACCAAAGATAAAGCCTGTGAATGAGAATCTCTATGACAGGCAGCCATGACAAAGCCATGAAATATAGCCTTCTAAAATGCACTTTACAGGCTGGACTGGCAGTGACGGATGAAGAAAAGGATTGTCGAAAATGAATGAGATCCTGCAATATTATTCTGGTGAAGACTCTCCGTGGCACGATAAACCTGAATTAAGTCATTGCAACATTAGTTCACTTCAACCACTCCGAAGCCATTCGCTTGGTGTATTTAATTAAGCGTACTGTTGTTGAATCTGCAAGCTGAGGCAGACATATCAACACGCACTTGTTTTTTCACTGGCTTCATTAGACATTGTTCAGGCTCCGGCGTTGATCCTTTCCGACTTAGTGCAATTTAATGCCAATTGCTTTGTCTGTGTTGCAGCTGATAAATATAAATCAAATGCAGTTGTACACAGCTGGAAGACGGAGCTTTTCTTACAAATTGAACATTGTGTTGATTCTTCTGCACAAACCCTGACAAGGTTTTGCGAGGATAGGAAGAAAGTCATGCATAGCAGCTGTTAAATAAGCAGCATGATGAAGTTAGACCTGAAGTGGTTATCTCAGAGATGCTTCTTTATAGTTTGGGTGAGATCTTTGATGCCAAATGTTGCTATGATGTTTGTGTACTGCACACCCCAATGATCAAACAGTGTATTTGAGGATTCTGCAAACTCTTTTTTTGTTTAGCCTTAGTTGCTATTAGCACTAATACTAATGACTACCGTTGTTTGGCAAACACAGACTTACTTACAGAAAACTTTCTCATATTGTGCAGCTTGTCACACCATATCTAAGTTTTGTGTGTCGGTTGAATGTGCCTGAGCGTGCGTGTTATTTAGCAGAGCATGTGTGTGTAGATTGATCATGTAATCTGAGTCTTATCTCGGTGGGTCTACGGAGATCAAGCAGTCGTGAGTTCTACAAACCTTGTCAAACGCTGAGCTTTAAATCAGGATTTAGACACAGCTAATTAGCCTGTCAGTGTCAGGCGTTTAAGACGATGCTGATACCAGTTAGCCAAGCTACAAAAACTCTGGTGACGACCTTTAGTGCCTCATTACAGTACAGATGTCGGAATTTAGGGTTGTCTTTGCTTCAAATAACATTTTGTAAAGTGACAAATCAAGGGAGCTGATGTTAATGTCAAACTGAAGAGATAATGAGAACAATTATTTGACAGTTAAACATGACTTTCTAATTTCTAATTTTTAATCAAGCTGATCCTGTCAAAAGCATCGCCTTACTTTGGTGATTCAACTCTTGCTTGTTTGGATTTGAAAGTCCCCAGGGTCAAAAAAAAAAAAAAAACATGGCAAAAAGTTTAGTTTATTTAAAAAAAATAAAATACAATTTTTAAATCGCATGCAGCCATGTGTATTTGGAAGAACAAAACAACTATGTAAGTTCGTTAAGCTGGATTTCGTACTGAATTTCAACAGTACATTTGAGACTTGTTGCATTTTAACTTCATCATTTTGTTGTTTGAAGCAAAAAGTCACTTCTGTTTCCTCCAACTAAACAAGCACCGTTTGACATTATAATGACGGATCAATCTATGTTTGACCGTAGTGGTTTTCTCATTTCAAGGTCAGCTGAGCTGGATACTACATTAGCCTAATACTGTGAATGAGAGCCAGTGTAATACACTGTATTCAATCAATGCATTTGACCTACTCTGGCAGTGGCACAGTGATCGTGACTGGACCAAAGGGCATAATTATTTCATACAGCAACTGAGCAGCATTAAAGTGGCACTCCGGTAATCCATTACTACTGCATTACTTATTGACTTTTCTATACTACAATCCCAGTGACGATGATGGTTATAATGAGACGATGAAGATAGGAGAACATTCGGAGCAGGAAGAGGGCGACAGCTCATTCTGAGGCATCCACCAGCGTGACTCGCTCTCTGTGATGACAGTGTTACTGATCTGTGCACATCCCTGCTCACAGGCACCCACTACCAAATGGCCACACAAGGTCATATCATAAGACAGATTCTATTTACAACCTCCATTTTGTGTTGCTCTCTAGAGCAGAAACAAATACAGACTTACTGTCCTGAGGAATTTCTTCCCTTTTACTCTCCATCACTACGTCTTCTAATAAACTTATCATAAGTGAGAGTCTCCAGCTCAATGCAAAGTAATCCTGGCAGGTGCCCTTTTATCCTGACGGCCTTTGGCTTTTTGAAAAGTTCACTCAAGATAACTCAGCCGAGACAAAAGGTTAGCGCTGCTCGGACATCAGGCTTGGGACTTTGGGCCTGTACTTCTCATTAATAGCTCTTTAACAAGCCTGATAAAACATGACGACACCTCGGGCGACAGCTGAGTGGCCACTTGATTACACTGGGAGTCAACATCTGCCCCCGCCTTCTCACGCTTGATGTAAATATGATCGGAAGATGCATTGAGCTTTTACAGCCAAAAGATGACATAATACCACCACAGCTCAACTGTGACACAAACTTATATCAAAGCATTTCCCAAAAAAAAAAAAGTTCTGGGTCATGATTACACTCAGTCAGGATTATTTGAAACTGAAGGACATGAAAAATAGCCTCAAGGTGTTTCAAAAAGCTATTCCTAGCCAACAGTCCACGCTGCATCCATCAGTGCACAGCCTCAGCCTGTCTGATTCAGTTAGTGCTTATGAAATGGAGCATCTGCAGAAGCTCCCACAGAGTATGTAAACATAAGCTCTGCCTTGGGAAATGAGCTGAGGGGTCATTTAGATTTGGGTGGGGGAAGTACGGAGCGCTGCTCTCGCTCTCTCCGTCACCTGGTAACAGTTTGACACACACGGGAGCTTCCTGCGTAATGTATTCAAAGCACCAGGCTAAACATCAACACCTGAGCAACCCCGGCCCTCTCCCATCCCTTTCTGCTCTTTCTCTCCCAGCGCATCAGCTCATCCTGCCTCCTGAGATATTAGGTAATCCAGGAGCGGGCGAGAGGTGATAGGACGCCTGTTTCTTAATGGTTTGTCAGCGAAGGAAGCGCCACAATCACCATGGATATGCTTGACATGTTTGCCAAGAGCCAGGAGCCATCCATTCCATGTGCACTGTGCAGCAGCCAATCAGCACTCTGTCAGTGAACCTGTGGGAGCTGATAAGTCTGCTATACAGTGAGGGGGGATCCCACCAATTACAACAATAACAGACATTGGGTAACATATGGAACTCAAGTGGCTGTTCAGTTGTATCTGCTCAGTGTATGGACTTATAAGCTGAAAAGACTGAGTGATAATTCATTGTCAGTGACTTTGTGTAATAGATTATCAGCACAAGATTTAGTCAGAAACAAAATCACGCTTGAGAAAAGTCCCAGACAGACAGTCTTGCTCCCTTTTCAAATGGCATTACAGCTCATTTCCGAATCAATAGCTTGCCTCTTTTCTCCCTGCCCGAGATAAACCCATCACAACTGAAGGATGGAGAAGAGTGGAGGGAAAAGAAAAAAAAAAAAAAAGCCAGGGCAACAGAGCCACAGCCTGCCCATTTTATCTGATGGAGCGAGGTGAGCAAACGGAGGGATTAGCTTCCATGGGATGAAAGCAGCTGTTCGTCCTCCGTCTCCGTTCCCCTCCCTCCTCTCCTTGTCTCTCCATCCGCCCACACATCCACACCGTGGTCTCCCCTCGCAACTAGAGACATGTTCTATATGTTGCAGCCCTGCTGTTGCCAGCTGCGCTCCACCCTCTACCTACAGTGGCGAGCACAAAAAGCCTTTCAGTGCACATGGCAGTGAAAGGCGCGGCAAAAAATAATAATAAAAAAATAGGCGCCAAAAACGGTGTTACGAATAAGGGGTAGGAGTTGAAGCAAAGTGTACTTCCTCTGTGACACCCAGCCTTCCTGATTATGTCACCCAGACACAGATACAGCGCGCGCAACCACATTACACAAATACACACTCGGATATCAACAAGCGACAACCTGTTTCTTTGTAACTTCTGGGGTAGCCTGAGTAAGAAATGCACTCTCTTACCTGGCAACAGCAGCACACCTTCAGCTCCAAATCTGCCAGCGCTGATGAGGAGACGCGCTCATTTGGAGTAGGAGTAGGGAGTCTTGGAGAGTGTGTGTGTGGTATGTGTGTGTGTGTGATGCTGGGAGAGAGAGAGAGAGGGAGAGAAAGGGAGGGAAAGTGAGAGGTGGAGCCTAGTTGAGAGAGAAAGAGGGCTGGATGATGACTGTCTGCCGTCTATATAGCCAGTCTTGTAGGAGCAGTGTGGATGGCGCTAGATTATCTTCTGTTCAAACACTTGCCGCCGATGCACCTCTTGCAAGGCTTGGAGAAAAAAACCCAGGGGCAGAGAATGGGAGGAGGAGGAGGAGGAGGAGGAGGAGGTGTGGTGAGGGAGACAGGAGAGACTCTGGGCTGTTTAAGCCAGCATCGTCACACGGCAGTTCCTAGGAATCCCTCCAGTAAGAGGGGCACTGCATCACTGAGTCCTTGGCCGTGATTGGCTGTTTAGTGGGGAGACGTCAAGTATGGTGGGTAATGCTGTGTAACCTAAGATGACCCTTTCAACACATATTAACATGCCCCGTCTATGTTTCTCACCCTTCTGGGCACATGTCACCTTCAAGGACACTTCAAAAGAAACAAAACAAAAAAAACTCCCCTAGGATCTTGGGATCCATGGTTGCATGTCTGTGTGCGACTCTGTGTGTATGTGTGTTTGTTAATACCCAGTAAGTCATGACCTGCCCTTGCGCATGAGCAAATACAAAACGGTTGCACACATACAATGCACACACAACGTCCGGCAAGAACTTGAAGGGAAGCTGATTTCCCCAGAGGAAGGCTGAGCCTGTCACCAGAAAAGCCACACAAACACCTGCAAGGACCGTCTTTCATTAGAGTGATTGAATATGTTTGTCATGCTGACCTCAAAACCAATAAAAGAGGTCACACAGTGGGTAAACATAATTTGAACGTCTGAAGTGACAATACACCAATCAGCTCCAACTTTAGAACTGCTGATGGGAGAAGTAAACACAAAGTCTTGTTGACACTTAGAAAACCTTTGGATTCTGGTATTTATGTGGACGTCACTTTAACACATAACACTCACCTAAACATTGGCGCAGACCGAGCACATCTCTTCATAGCAACAGCACTCCGTGACAGTAGCATCCACCACCCGTCCACTCCGTAAAAACTCAAGGAACAGCTTGAGGAACACGACCAAGAGCTCACGGAGCTGAAACAGATTGAACAGCCATGTTTGAAACAGAAAAGGCGCAATACGCGTGGCCCCAATCTTCCCCACACTCCGCGAGGTCGGGAACTGATTTGGCAACATGAGGAAGACCTGTATAATATTAGGTAGGAGGTTTTAATGTTACATCTGATCAGTGATCCAACCCAATCTGTAATTCAACCCTTCTGATGTTTGACTTTTTTTTCTAATGTAAATTACAATCCTTGTCACTCATTGTCAGTTATTACCTGATCTAATATAAAGACTTCAAATTCAAAGGTGTAAATGAATGCACTGAGACATGCTAGCAAGCCAATCATGTGACATACAATAATGAATATGGAAAGTGGCTGAAAACTGCATTTTTTTTTTTATTTTAATTTTTTGCTGCTTCATGGAGCAAATGAGGTTTTCCGTCCGCTGCATGCCCTGAATAAAAGCATTGCCCAGCTGCACTCAAACGTCAGGCAGAAAGTGACAGGCTGCAGAGTGAATAGAGCTCTCTGTCTCGTGTTTTTCCATGAAAACGTAAACAGTCCACATGACATGTGAATTGAGGTGCTCCTCAGGAGGAGCTGTAAGTGTTCTTAAGCGCATAATATATTGTAATCACCAGAGTCAGATGATTAAACACCACAGAAGCTACTTGAATTAAGCTGCCATTAGCTGGCATACAGGGAAGTAGAGGAGACAGAGCTTTGTGATTGTGAGTGGTACGACGGTCTCTTTTGTCTATGCATGTCCAGTTCAATCCAGATGTGGATGAGCGTGCATGTTCTCTCTGTGACTGTAGTTCGTCTTACTGTTTATGCTGGTTAACAGAGACCATAAACTGGCATTAGGTGTAAAAATGAGTGCGAAATGTCACTCTGTATACAAAATATAGTGACGGGAAAGCAGCTGAAGTATGGTTAGCCTAACAGTATCGCCCAGTATCTGATAGGATACACTATAGCATCCCCATCACTCTGCAAAGGATAAGGCAATACTGATAATAAATGCTTGAAGAAAAAAAAAAAAATTTGTTTCTTTAAATAAAACTTAAAATAAACCAAATGTCTGTCAATTTTGTTGTATAGCTTTAAAAGTAAACCAATCCATTAGAAACGCATGCATTCATCTAGTTCAATTAGGTTATTTAATGGTATTTGTAACAGCTACGTAATATATTATAGTCTATTCATATTGCTATAGCTAAAGAATGTCTCATGAGAAAATATTTCATTGCATTCAATAATTACCATTTTTGACCGCATATTTGATGACCTATGAACAAATATGTTCTCGCAGTTTAAGATTCTGTTAAAATATTTACCCTTTAGGGTGTGTGGCACATTTCTGATGCCCCGTACCCATAAAATCAAACTTCTAAAGTTTGAGTGTCAAATGTGCTGTGGTGAAACACGACTAAATATGATCAGTGAAAAGTGGAAAAAGTATGATTTTAGTTTCTGCAATTAATTCCAAAATAACAGCTTGGTGGAACAGATAAGTGTGCCGGTAAAAAAAAAAAAAAAGAAAGTTTTTTGCTTCTTTTTGCGTCCAATTCACAAATAAAAACTGCCAGTGTGTCACTGAGCAGGACATGTTGTTTATGAGCTAAAATCAATGTCAGCATAAAAGGTTTGGTCTTTTGTGTTGTGCCATTGTTTAGATGCAGACATGATGGTCGAGCCTAACAAAAAACTAGAAAAGGCACTATGACTGTTTTCACTGGTGAATCACATTCTCAGCACCCTGTGGTGATCACACTTTATTCAGCACTAAAAGGTCATCCTCCTCTCCAGCACAGCCACCGTTTTTATTACAGGAATCCAATAATCAATTGATGATTCATAGACACAAAAATGAAACATTTACATTCACAACAATGTGAGCTTATTCCAGACCTGGGTAAAAAGCTAACTGCATTTCATAGATGTAGTAAAAAGGCAAACGTTTACCGATCCTGGCTTCTCATCCATGAAGATTTCATGGGTTTTTTTGCTATACGTTGAATAAAATTTCATATTTTTGTGTTTTGGGCTGTGGGCTACAAATAATACAGCATCTAAGGACATCCTTGAGAAATCGTATAAAACTGATTTCATGATTTAACAGAGGTAGAGAGAGATGCAGCCATAGAGAGTTTGAGAGATACAGCAATAGAGATAGATAAATGGATAGTTTATTCATCCTGAGGGAAATTCATTTGTCATAGCAGCATCACAACCAAGGACTAAAAACAGATAAAAACCACAATATATGGACATACAACAATCTCAGAGGTATTTTGCAGACAAATAAAACAGCAATCCACAGATTAACCGCATGTGAAAATAATCACTAGCTCCAAGTCGAGTCGTCACATGAGCTTCATCAGCACATGATAACTGGAAGTAACATGAAGTCAGCACTGATGTAATGCCTTAAAGTGAACTGAAGATACTGGAAGTTTTAGCACATACAAGTCAGGGTGTATGTGTGTTTATTACAGATTATTCTCAGCCCAGTAAATTCCAACAAACTGCAAGATATATTGTTTTGTGAATCTTTTTCTTTTCTTGTCAGGAGGAAAACCCTCTCAAATAGAATTTAAACCAGTATCACACATTTCAGATGTTATCAGCTCATTAAACAGCCATCGTGGTGCTTTATTTCCAAACATACAGTCCAGTAGGGACTTCCACCCACTTCCAGGCAGCTCAGCAGGCCATTATCACCCCATATAATGGCAGTGGGGCTGTGATTTTTGCACTTACAAGGGCAAACAAATGTCCAGAGTTGGAGGCTGGATGAGTTGGTTGTGGTATAAGTCAGTGTAGGTTCAAGAGACTCAAGTTTAGGTTCTGTCTTAGTCCCATCAGTGCCAATATTATTAGGTGTTGATTGATTTGTTTTCTTTAGGGGCGATACTGATTATTAGTTATCAAGGAGACTGACTACCAATATTTGGAACTGATGTACAGTAAGAAAGAAAATCCTGGTGTTCAAAATTCAGGATAACTTCAACAATGAAATTCTCCAGTCTATTTATGTTGTACATGGGTTTAATAACTCATAAGAGAGGCAGCTGCATCACAGTCAAAAACGTGCATGTCAAATTGCATCAAGAATCAAAAAACCCTAAAAAAAAAAAAAAAAAAAAACATTGATACCAATAAGAATCCGATAATTAGCAGAGTGGATAATCAGTCAACCCACAATTATTATAGTATGACTTTCTGATAAAGTCTTGTTTTGACTTTTATTTTCACTTGCTGTTTTTCAGTGTGTAATTCAGTGATTGTGTTTACTTCTTTTTCAGTCAGTGCTTGGTTACGTATTGGCACCAAAACGGCCCATTGGGTTAAGGAAACATGATTTAGGTCAAAATACACAATGCTGCTACATGTACTCCATGTTATAAAGCTCAATTTTTGACATTTCCAGGCTGAAGACACAACCTGAGATTTTGCACTAACTGTTTCACACAGCTGCCTTCATTATAGGGGCTTCTTTCTCTTTATCGATGGTCAGAATGGATGAAGGTGCTGTCTGGTCTACTACATGGTGGAGGAGGTCCCTGCTGACCCATATGTCTGATTGGATGCTACTATTGACACTAAGAGTTTTTGGTAATTTAGTTGTCAGATTGTTTAGTTTAGTTCAAAAAAGTCATATCCTGAATTTGGCTTCATCCGGGATATTGACATGAGTCGGTATGTATCTTTACCCCCCAAAAAAACCTCTAAGTAAAAACTAACACCTCTCTTGTCCTTGTTTGTCCCCAGCCAGGGCTGTGGCCATGAGTTGTGCAGTGATTACTGGCTTTAATGGCGGTTGGTCTTGTTATGAAAGAGCCCG